ACCCCCCTAAGCGCTCCATCTCCTGCTGGAACTGCTGCTGCCGCCGGCGGTTGGGGTCCACGTTGATCCAGTTGTTGGCGATCCACTTGGTGCCCTGGGTGACCAGGCAGCCGCCGTGCAGAGCGAAGTCGTCCAGCTCCCCCACCCAGCCTGCGGAGCAGAGCCCCGTTAGACGGTGGCAGAGGAAGGCAGACACAGCTGGGACCACACAGGAACACACGGCCAGCAAACACCAATGCTGTCTCTCCTGCCTGCACTACCTGCTTGGATTTGAGCTCAGATACATCTTCCAGCAGTTACTTTTCCTTGCACTCCTCCATCTTAGTGCCATCTTACCCTAGCGCCTACAAGGAGTTCATCAGGGCAGGCTCCCTGAGTGCAAATTGCCCACTGCCTCCACCTCTGCACTCAGCACAAGTGGCTCTCACAATCCAGATCACAGCCTGTCATTGTCAGCTCTCTTGGAAAAAGGAAGGCTGGCACAGAAGAGATGGGTTCTGCCACTAAAAAGCCTGAGGAAGCCAGAGGCTTGCAGCCGTTTTAGAGATTGCATTTCAGCAGTTCTAAATGATCTGTTTACAATGATCCTATCGTTTTTCTGTGGCAGACTTACATCAGCAGCCACTTTCCATTTAGGAACAAATTGCTCGTAAAAACACAACAGGGCTCTCCTAGTAGGAGAGCGACAATTCTTGCTATTATCACCCAACAGCCCAAACACTCGTCTTGTGACCTCCTCTGTGGATTTTCTAGAGATGGAAACATGGACTGCTCTCAGGGGACCTGGGACATTACACTCCTTCCTCCAACCAAAGCTCAGAATCTGCCATGGAAACCCTCTGGAGCCAAACTCACCAGCAGCCCTGAAGATTCATGTTCATTCCCAGCGTGTCAGGGAAAACCGCACTGCGCTTCGTGACAAAAACAGCCCAAGGACACATCGTGGGGCTGTGGCTGAGCTACAAAGCAGGCACTGGCCCCAAGCGTGGCATGGGGTGGCCCATGTGTCCTCATGCTTCAGAGCTGATGGTCGTGCCTTTGTCTACCTCCCCTCCCCACCCCTTTGGGCAACACCACATCAGTGACACATTCTGAATTGCAGACCAAGTTCCAGCAGGAGTTTCAGCTTGCACAGTGGGATGGAAGGCAGCTGGTGAGGGCGAGTGCAGCCAAGGTCTTTGTTTGCTAGCTAGTCCTGTCCCCCAAAGACATCAGGAGCCACTGACCTACTGCCTGTAAACAAAGGCCTTTCAGAGTCAGGAAGCTCCTACTCAGCTGTTGACAAAAAGACTCTACAGTTCCCACTAGCAGGCAGCTACCACCCCTTTTCTGGCTGTTCTTTGAGCTCCCAGCTGCAGCAAGGAGATGATGGCTGTCACCTACTGCAATCCCACCCCTCCCAAGAGCTCAGTTTTGAAGTGAGCCTGTACCTTCTCCATCTGACAGGTAGTTGTACCAGAAGACAGCAGTGCCTTGCTGAGGTTTCACTCGCAAATTGCCCTTGTCACAGTTTTTCCGAGTATCTCGCAGGTCAATGTCGTTCTGGATCAAGGACTGGACAGAAACCACAGGGAAGATGTCACAAACAGGGCTGGAACAAGGCACAGGCACTGGGATACCCCTGCCCCTCACCCTTGTCTGAGTGTTCCACAGGATACCTTAAGGTTGATGCAGGAGCTTTCATAACCCACCTGGAGCAGCCAGTTTCAGGCCCCAGGAGGTTCATAACCTGTTTCTGAGCAGCTGCCATTTCTTAACACTTTGCCTGACACCTCACACCTCTGAGCAGGGAGAGCTGAGCTGTCAAAGCTCTGTGCCTCCTCCCCTGTCCTCAGAGGAAAAAGACTGTAAGTGGAACATGGTCTCCCCAGTGCTCCAGCTGCAAATGCTAATGCACACCAACCTAACACACCAGACCCCTTCTGCAGCCACAATGAATAAAGACATTCCAAGAGGGACTCAGAATCCCCAGGGGTAACACGTAGGGAGGTTCATTTACCATCTCTTCGTAGGTCCTGTTATCAGCAATAGGAAAGACTGTTTCACCTCCCCCAGTCACATTGTTCAGGTAGAACAGCACGGTCACATACCTGCAAGACAGAGACTGTCAGGAGACACACCTGGAGCAGGAGGAGATGCACAGGGGCTCCCCATGCCAAGCTGCTCCACCATAAATACAGTGGCTCCTCCAAGACGTCACACTGCACATGATTTACACCATCAGCTTTTCTCCAAGAGTAACACAAGGACAACAAAGAAAACCTCTGTCTAGAGTAATGAGTGTGCTTGTAGGCTCTGCTGGGGCAGGACCACCCACTCCACCTTCCTTGCATGGACCCAGGTGGGTTTTGCCCCCATCCCCTTTAAAACCCCTTCATGCCTGTGATGTCCTGAGCTGGTTTGTGAGCCCACAACCCGAGCACTGAGTCCCAGGTGAGATGAGGTGAGGTGAGGGCTCTTCACAGCCCTTGTCAAAGGTGCCCAGGGAGCTTACCGGCAGGAGGTCTCAAAGGGAGCGCTTTCATTGGCAACAAGCTTGGTGTGGCTGCAGGCAGTCTCGGGGAACACGGGGCCACTGTCCATGTGGGCGTGGTAGTGCCCTCCTTGGTCGTAGCGCACAACCTGCAGGGGCTCGCTGTGCTCCACGATCTCGGGGGGCAAGCGAGTGAGGCGCATTACCCTGGGGGAGAGCAGAGCTGCTGAGTGCAAAGCCACCCTCACCCCAGGCAGCCACTACTCCCAAGCAGTGAATAAACCCAGAGAAAGAGAACCCCCTTCCCAAAAGACCGGAGAGACGGATGGGCTGCAGCGAGCATGCCAAGAGACAGCCAGGTCCTTACTCATCTGTTG